AGATCTACGCCATGAGCTCAGCTCACTCTGATAAACTGTGAGTGGTACATTTGGGCCTAGATAAGAGAGAATACATCTATGTGGTATGTGTGCACCACATAAAACAGATCCTGCAGCACACTGTGTATAATGAGAGAAAAAAACTGAAATCATGATTTTTCGATTAAAACAGCGAATTTGCAGTGTTTTTTGTATGTTTTTTATAGTTGTATTTGCGATTTCTTGGTCTCATTTGATAGAATGGAAGACATATTACAGAAATAGAGATGATTTTGATTGGTTTTAGCACTGAAATGGCTTGAAACTGAGCTCAAAGTAGCAGAAATGTTAAATTTTTGCCGATATTCAAGAGTAAACAAACGGCCTCACACATCTAATACACGTCAGCTGGTGGGTCTAATATACATTCACAAATATGGTGATGATATTTATACAATTATTACAGTATTGCATAACAGTAAATCTTCTATTTTTTGGTGTGAATAAAAATTCATTATGTGAATAAAAAATCAAAATGGAATTTATTTGTAAAGCCTCAAAATGTAACTAATGAACAGAGGAAATGTTAGTTTAGTTCCAGGAATACCTACATTGTTTATTCTGGAGCCTATTTTGAAATTGGAATATTTGAACTTTGTGTTAAATTGGCCAAATTAACAATTTCCGATCACTTTATTTTGTAGTTGAAACAGTTTGACTTAGCGATTTCTTGTGCTCAATCGATAGAATAGAAGTAATACTAGTGAAATAGCTAAGAATTTGGTTGATTGGAATAATGTAATTGGCCTAAAATGGGAGTCAAAGTGAGCAAAATCGCCGATTCGTAAATATCGCTGACACATCAAAATTCGCGAGAGCATAATTTCGTCAATTTTCCACCAAATTTCATACTTTTTGTTTTATTACCTTCACAAAAAGATTCTCTACGATTTCATAAGAAAAAATAACAAATTTTTTTTTTTGAAAATTCTTGGACACTGGTGCGTGACTTCAGATTTTGGCCTTGGACCCTGAAAGGGTTAATCCCACCTCTCTCCTGAACACCCTAGCATTTACTTCTTTTACAACTTCATTTTTTTTTTTAACAAGGCCGTCTCCCACCGAGGCAGGGTGACCCAAAAAGAAAGAAAATCCCCAAAAAGAAAATACTTTCATCATCATTCAACACTTTCACCTCACTCACACATAATCACTGTTTTTGCAGAGGTGCTCAGAACACAACAGTTTGAGAAGCATATACGTATAAAGATACACAACATATCCCTCCAAACTGCTAATATCCCGAAACCCCTCCTTTAGAGTGCAGGCATTGTACTTCCCATTTCCAGGACTCAAGTCCAGCTATATAAAAATAACCGGTTTCCCTGAATCCCTTCACTAAATATTACCCTGCTCACACTCCAACAGATCGTCAGGTCCCAAATACCATTTGTCTCCATTCACTCCTATCAAACACACACTCATGCACGCCTGCTGGAAGTCCAAGCCTCTTGCCCAAAAAACCTCCCTTACCCCTTCCTTCCAACCTTTTCAAGGACGACCCCTACCCCGCCTTCCTTCCCCTGCAGATTTAAATGCTCTCCATGTCTTTCTACTTTGATCCATTTTTTCTAAATGACCAAACTGCCTCAACAACCCCTCTTCAGCCCTCTTACTAATACTTTTATTAACTCCACACCTTCTCCTAATTTCCACTCCCCGAATTTTCTGCATAATATTTACACCACACATTGCCCTTAGACAGGACATCTCCACTGCCTCCAACCACCTCTTCGCTGCTGCATTCACAACCCAAGCTTCACACCCATATAAGAGTGTTGGTACTACTATACTTTCATACATTCCCTTCTTTGCCTCCATAGATAACGTTCTTTGTCTCCACACTTACTTCACGCACCACTCACCTTTTTTCCCTCATCAATTCTATGATTAACCTCATCCTTCATAAATCCATCTGGTGACACATCAACTCCCAAGTATCTGAAAACATTCACTTCTTCCATATCCAATTTTTCTTTATCTAAATCATTTGGTACCCTCATCACCTTACTCTTGTCTATGTTCACTTTCAATTTCCTACCTTTACACACACACTCAAACTCATCCACTAACCTTTGCAATTTTTCTTTAGAATCTCCCATAAGCACAGTATCATCAGCAAAAAGCAACTGCATCAATTCCCATTTTGTATTTGATTTCCCATAATTTAATCCCACCCCTCTCCTGAACACCCTAGCATTTACTTCTTTTACAACCCCATCTATAAATATATTAAACAACCATGGTGACTTTACGCATCCCTGTCTAAGACCTACTTTTACTGGGAAGTAGTCTCCCTCTCTTCTACACACCTTAACCTGAGCCTCACTATCCTCATAAAAACTCTTGTACAGCATTTAGTAACTTACCACCTATTCCATATACAGTGGAACCCCGCTTAACGATCACCTCCCAATGCGACCAATTATGTAAGTGTATTTATGTAAGTGCGTTTGTACGTGTATGTTTGGGGGTCTGAAATGGACTAACCTACTTCACAATATTCCTTATGGGAACAAATTCGGTCAGTACTGGCACCTGAACATACTTCTGGAATGAAAAAAATATTAACCGGGGGTCCACTGTACTTGCAACATCTCCCACATTGCTCCCCTATCCACTCTATCATATGCCTTTTCTAAGTCCATAAATGCAGTGAAAACTTCCCTACCTTTATCTAAATACTGCTCACATATATGCTTCAATGTAAACACTTGATCTACACATTCCCTACCCACTCTGAACCCTCCTTGCTTATCTGCAATCCTACTCTCTATCTTACCTCTAATTCTTTCAGTAATAATCCTACCATACACTTTACCTCGTATACTCAGTAAACTAATTTCTCTGTAATTTTTACAATCTCTCTTGTCTCCCTTCCTTTTATTTAAAGGAATTATACATGCACTCTGCCAATCCCTAGGTACCTTCCCCTCTTTCATACATTTATTAAACAAAAATACCAACCACTCTAACACTATTTCCCCCCCCCCCTCCTGCTTTTAACATTTCTGTCATGATCCGGTCAGTTCCAGCTGCTTTACCTCCTTTCATTCTACGTAAAGCCTCACGTACCTCCCCCACACTCACATTCTGCCCTTATTCACACCTAAAAGATGGTATACCTCCCTGGCCAGTGCATGAAATTATCGGCTCTCTTTCTTCGTTGACATTTAAAAGTTCCTCAGAATATTCCCGCCATCTACCCAATACCTCCATCTCCCCATCTACTAACTGCCGTACTCTGTTTTTAACTGACAATTCCATTTGTTCCCCTGGCTTTCTTAACTTGTTTAACTCACTCCAAAATTTTTTGTTATTTTCATTAAAATTTCTTGACAGTGCCTCTCCCACTCTATCATCTGCTCTCCTTTTGCACTCTCTCACCACTCTCTTCACCTTTTTTTTTACTCTCCACATCCTCTGCTCTTCTTATAACACTTCTGCTTTGTAAAAACCTCTCATAAGCTTTCTTTTATTTATTTATTTATTTATTTTTACTTTTGAATAATTTTTTTAGGCCTAGTGCTATTGTGCATTTAATAAATGATAGTGTAAACATGTTTTTAGACATCTCATATATATGCATTGACAAGTGAAAAAAATGTGATTTGCTTTTAAGGGGATATTTGCTTTACAGCAGCGGTCTGGACCCTAATCCACCATATTAGTGAAGTACGACTGTGTCACATCTTGAGGTGCCTGTGGATTATCACATAGAATGGTGGCTCGAATAAACTGCAATGTAGTTTAAGCAAATTTTCCTCCTCCTCTTCTATTTCTTTGCTTCTCTTCCTCTGCCTCCCTCCTTTTTTCCTATCCTCTTCCTTTTTTTTTTTTTTTTTTTTGTATCTTCCTAAGTCCTATCTCTTCTCTCTTTCTTCCCTCCTACCTGTTTGCCCTACCTCCTCCTCCTCCTCCTCCTCCTAGGGAACTTTGTCTTGAAACTGCAATTTTATCATTAAATTTTTTGTTTTGTTTTGTTTTTGGGGCTTTGGGGAAGCTGGTGATGATTATGGAGGCTTCAGCCCCCTTGTTCACTCCTTTCCCCTTGGTTCTGTCAATGTCGAAAAGATTGGAGGGAGGGGGTAAATGAGGTTTTATGGGCGAGGGGCTTGGATTTCCAGCAAGCCTGCGTGAGCATGTTAGATAGGAGTGAATGGAGACGAATGGTTTTTCGGACCTGACGAGCTGTTGTGTGAGCAGGGTAATATTTTGTGAAGGGATTCAGGGAAACCAATTAGCTGGACTTGAGTCCTGGAAATGGGAAGTACAATGCCTGCACTTTAAAGGGGTTTGGGATATTGGTAGTTTGGTGTGACTATCTAAACTGTCGTATCTGGGCGCCTCTGCAGACAGTGATTATGTATGAGTGATGGTGAAAGTATTGACTGATAGTGAAAGTTTTTTTTCTTTCTTTTTGGGCTTTTCTTTCTTTTGGGTCACCCTGCCTTGGTGGGAGACAACTGACGTGTTAAAAAAAATGTATTCAATGAAAATAACAAAAACTAACAATTCTTCAGATACTGCATGAACCCTAGGTATTTAGTGTTTCCCTGCTCATTTTTTTTAACACGCTTGTTGTCTTTCAGTGAGTCAGGGTGACACGAAAAAGAAATATTCTCGCCATCACTCGCCTAACTACTTATAGTCGTAATAACTAGAAGTGTATTGCTCCCCATAAATTTAATAGTAATCAAAACTATCCAGGCGACTAAAATGCCGGGAGCTAGGAGCTGGTAACCCCTTTAAGAGGAGAAACTTTCCTTTTTTCTTTTGGGCCACCCTGCCTTGGTGGGATACAGCCAGTTTGTTGAAAGAAGAAGAAAATTTATCAATTTAGCATGTTGTTAATTGATGTGTAAATAAAGGGGGTTGTAGCCACACTTGGCTATAAGTATTTCTTTAATATTTTGTTTCATTATTTATCGTCCAGTTTCATTAATCTTTTGCTGTTGCAGGTGGGTCTGGATTTGGATGCAGCTAAGACACGGTGGCGCAACTCTCAGGCCAACCCAAGCCCCAATGCCAAGATGGACACCTACCGGGAGGAGCTGGAGGAGGCAGAGGCCAAGCTGGATCAAGCACGGGTACATATCCTCTATCTTCACCTCCCGAAAAAGAACACTTTTATTATCACTCTGTCACCGTCTTGTCAGAGGCGTGCCAATACTACAGTTCAAAAACTGCAACATTTTCCATCCCTCCTCTCAGTTCCATGTACTGTACTTAGAACCATTTAAAGTTTGATAGCTGCCAAGCCACAGTATGAACACATGTCGGGCATAATCATCTTTGAACTTTTGTTTTTTAGACAAACATTTTTATTATTTTATCACACTGGCTGTCGCCTGCTAAGGCAGGGTGACCTGAAAATGAAATGCTTATACCATCATTCACACTGTCTTACCAGAGGCACACAGATATGACAGTTCAGATGCCCCTCCAAACAGCAAATATTCCCACCCCATCTATAGAGTTCAGGCACTGTACTTTCCACCTCCAGGACTCCAGTTTGGCTAACTGGTTTCCCTGAATCACTTCACAAAATATTACTTTTGACTTTTCCAAGTCAACAATTCACAGGTTACACAATTGAATTGCAGGATATTACAAAGTATTTCTTTCATTGTAGGAGTGGTAAATTCTGGGTAAGTGGAAAGAAGTAGGATAGGCACTAATGCAGTGGGAACTAACTCCTTACAGGAATTAAACAATAGATTTACCAAGACTCACTTGTATCAGTTGGTTGAAAGTTAACCCTTTCAGGGTCCGTGCCGTAGATCTATGGCTTTACGTTGAGGGTCCAAACCGTAGATCTACGCCATGAGCTCAGCTCACTCTGATAAACTGTGAGAAGTAAATTTGGGCCTAAATATGAGAGAATATATCTATGTGGTATGTGTACACCACATAAAACAAATCCTGCAGCACACAGTGCAAAATGAGAGAGAAAAAACTTAGACCATAATTTTCGATTAAAACAGTGAATTTGCAGTTTTTTTTGTATGTTTTTTATGGTTGTATTTGCAATTTCTTGGTCTCATTTGATAGAATGGAAGATCTTTCTTTCAACACACCGGCCGTATCCCACCGAGGCGGGGTGGCCCAAAAGGAAAAACAAAAGCTTCTCCTTTTAAATTTAGTAATATATACAGGAGAAGGGGTTACTAGACCCTTGCTCCTGGCATTTTAGTTGCCTCTTACAACACGCATGGCTTACGGAGGAAGAATTCTGTTCCACTTCCCCGTGGAGGTAAGAGGAAATAAACAAGAACAAGAACTAGTAAGAAAAATGGAAGAAAACCCAGAGGGGTATGTATATATATGCTTGTACATGTATGTGTAGTGTGACCTAAGTGTAAGTAGAAGTAGTAAGATGGGGTGTACCTGAAACCTTGCATGTTTATGAGACAGAAAAATGGACACCAGCAATCCTACCATCATGTAAAACAATTACAGGCAGAATGGAAGATATATTACAGAAATAGAGATGATTTTGATTGGTTTTAGTATTGGAAATGGCTTGAAATTGAGCTCAAATTAGTGAAAATGTTAAATTTTTATCGATGTTCAAGAGTAAACAAATGACCTCACACGTCTAATACATGCCAGCTGGTGGGTCTAATATATGTTCACAAATGTGCTGATATTATTTATACAATTATTACAATATTGCATAACAGTAAATCTTCTATTTTTTGATTTGAATAAAAATTCATTATGTGAATAAAAAATCAAAACGTAATTCATTTGTAAAACCTGAAAACATAACCAATGAACAGAGGAAATGTTAGTTTAGTGCCAGGAATGCCTGCATTGTTTATTCTGGACCCTATTTTGAAATTGGAGTATTTTGAACTTTGCATTAAATTGGCCAAATTACCAATTTCCAATCACATTATTTTGTAGTTGAAAAAGTTGATTTGTCGATTTCTTGTGCTCAATCGATAGAATAAAAGTAATACTACTGAAATAACTAAGAATTTGGTCGACTGGCATAATGTAATTGGCCTGAAATGGGAGTCAAAGTCGACAGACTCACCGATGCGTAAATATTGCTGACACATTCCATATACTTGCAACATCCGCCACATTGCTCCTCTATCCACTCTATCATATGCCTTTTCTAAATCCATAAATGCAATAAAAACTTCACTACCTTTATCTAAATACTGTTCACATATATGCTTCAATGTAAACACTTGATCTACACATCCCCTACCCACTCTGAAACCTCCTTGCTCATCTGCAATCCTACATTCTGCCTTACCTCTAATTCTTTCAATTATAACCCTACCATACACTTTTCCTGGTATACTCAATAAACTTATTCCTCTATAATTTTTACAATCTCTCTTGTCCCCCTTCCCTTTATATAAAGGGACTATACATGCTCTCCGCCAATCCCTAGGTACCTTCCCCTCTTTCATACATTTATTAAACAAAAGTACCAACCACTCCAACACTATCCCCCCCCCCCCCCTGCTTTTAACATTTCTGTCATGATCCCATCAGTTCCAGCTGCTTTACCCCCTTTCATTCTACGTAATGCCTCACGTACCTCCCCCACACTTACATTCTGCTCTTCTTCACTCCAAAAAGATGGTATACCTCCTTGACCAGTGCATGAAATTACCGCCTCCCTTTCTTCCTCAACATTTAAAAGTTCCTCAAAATATTCTCGCCATCTACCTAATACCTCCATCTCCCCATCTACTAACTCCCCTACTCTGTTTTTAACTGATAAATCCATACGTTCCCTAGGCTTTCTTAACTTGTTACTAGCCCCTTGCTCCCAGCATTTTAGTCTCCTTTTATGACATGTATGGCATACAGTGAAAGGATTCTTTTCAAAAAATTATACCTACCAAAATTCTTAGCAGGGGGTATATAAGAAACTTGAGATCTAAGCCATTATTTTCTCTAGTGTTTTTACATGGAAATTTGTTTTTACTAATTTTATTAAATAGCTTTGCCTTTGACATTCTAATGTATGTTTGTTTTACTTTTTTGCTGCAAAGATCACTGTGATCCACAAGTCACCATGCTCTTCATGTCTCACAGCATCCTTCAGTTTTTTCCTTTTTTTTTATTATTAACAAAGCAGCCGTTTTCCACCAAGTCAGGGTGGCACTATAGTGCATACACTATAGTGTATGCAATGCCAGAGGCATGCATACACTAGTTAAAAAGTGCAATATGTCAGTGTCCCTCCTTCAGAGCTCAGGTGCTATACTTCCTACCTCCAGAATTTGAGTCCGGTTTTCAGGTTTTTGTGACTCCCTTTATAAATGTTATTTTCTTAGTGCCTAGCATAAACATGAGCTAGTTTTATTTATTACAAAGATGACATTTTGCAGGACACATATGCTTGTGACATCTTCAGTCTGATGGCACGGGAGCGTGAGATATCTCAGTACATGTGTGGCTACCTGGAACTTCAGAGAGAATTTATGCAGAAGACTCTGACGAAGTTAGATCGTGTGCTACCAGATATGAGGCAGCAGCTAGAAGCCTCCTCCAGTAGCCCTGCCTTTGGTGTTCCCCTTCGTGACCACCTAAAAATTGTCCAGCAGGTAAGGAATCTGTTGTCATGGTTTTACATAGAAACGTTATACAGTGTCTCCTCACTTAATGACGGAGTTCTGTTCCTAAGACCATGTTGTAAACGAATTCGTCGCTAAGCAAGGAGCATATTGTAATGGTAGTGGGTTTGTGTCAAAAATCTTTGATATTGTTTTAATGTCACCTTTGCACCATTTATAACATTTTTAGTATGTTTTTAAATGTTTATCCAGTAGTGTTTTGTATATTGTAATAAACAGAATAGAGGAAATCAGCTCTAATGTACATTATTTAGGTATGGATACTGGTCAGAGAGTCCGTTGTAAGCCCGAGTCGTTGGTGAATGAGTACGTCGCTAAATGAGGAGAGACTATATGACAGTGTTCCTTTGGGCTTTTTTTTAAGCTTATGTTTGATGTTAGATCACCTGGCTGATGGAAACCTGATGTGATGTGGAGTACTGAACAGTTTACTGTAGTAATGTAGAGTATTGAACAGTTTACTGTAGTGATGTAGAGTACTGAACAGTTTACTGTAATGATGTGGAGTATTGAACAGTTTACTGTAGTGATGTAGAGTACTGAACAGTTTACTGTAATGATGTGGAGTACTGAACAGTTTACTGTAGTGATGTGGAGTACTGAACAGTTTACTGTAATGATGTGGAGTATTGAACAGTTTACTGTAGTGATGTAGAGTACTGAACAGTTTACTGTAATGATGTGGAGTATTGAACAGTTTACTGTAGTGATGTAGAGTATTGAACAGTTTACTGTAGTAATGTAGAGTATTGAACAGTTTACTGTAGTGATGTGGAGTATTGAACAGTTTACTGTAGTAATGTAGAGTATTGAACAGTTTACTGTAGTGATGTGGAGTACTGAATAGTTTACTGTAGTGATGTGGAGTACTGAATAGTTTACTGTAGTGATGTGGAGTACTGAATAGTTTACTGTAGTGATGTGGAGTACTGAACAGTTTACTGTAGTGATGTGGAGTACTGAACAGTTTACTGTAGTGATGTGGAGTACTGAACAGTTTACTGTAGTGATGTGGAGTACTGAATAGTTTACTGTAGTGATGTGGAGTACTGAATAGTTTACTGTAGTGATGTGGAGTACTGAATAGTTTACTGTAGTGATGTGGAGTACTGAACAGTTTACTGTAGTGATGTGGAGTACTGAACAGTTTACTGTAGTGATGTGGAGTACTGAACAGTTTACTGTAGTGATGTAGCGTACTGAACAGTTTACTGTTTGCTACAAACTTCACATTTTTCGAGTAACATATTTTAGGGTAAAAATAAAGGTTTGTCAAAAACAACATTGAATTGTTTAAATATGCAATAAAATACAGCTTTAGCACATATTTCTATACTTTCCAATATTTTACATATTTTAAAAAATGTTTTGGAAAGTCAATAAAAATATATATTATTATTGAACATTTTGACATTTCAGAGTGGTTGTATATATTTTTTGACATCAATTTCTATCTAAAATATGTAGGATTAATGTGATAAATATTGCCATTAAGCCATACATGATCGGTACTTATCTATCTAGCACGATAATGCCCTGGTGCATTTTGATGAACTTCCATTGTAGATTATGTTACCTTTAAAAAAAAAAAAGTTACATTTTTAATCAAAAATGATAATTTATGATTTTCTGGGCTATTTCTTTCTTACCACAAAAATTTAAATATTTGTTTAATGGGTTTGTTTGGTAGGTGCTGCATGCGGGTGGTTAATGATAAGTCTTCTTCGGAGGCTTCTTAGTTTATTGAAAGGTCGTGGTGGGTACACAGGCTTGTGTGTTTGTGCCCATGGCCCGGGCAGGGCCATCCCACGAGAGAGAGCTGGGAGTACTTGTGTCTTCCTGCTAGGCCGCTGTGAGAGTGAGAGCGTGGCAAGGCCAGGCAGGCTGAAGGGGCCACCGAGAGGCCTGGCTACAGAGGGCAACACTTGAGTGGCGTGAAATATGAACTAAGCTGGCAGACAGCATGGGCTGTCTGTGCAGACAGTACAGGCTGTCTACATACGCTCGGCCACCTACCGCTCGTCGTCCCGACGCGACGATACTGGTGGTAAAAGGAACTCGGTCTCTCTCTCGTAGGAACAGGGCACAGAACACAAAATAAAAAAACATATATATACTTATGAACATGGAAAAAAAAACTTCCTACAGGGAGGGAAGAAAAAAACATGTGGGGTGTGCTAAACATCGTGGTCATAGGCAGTGAGCGTCGATGGGCATCACTGCACGCCTTCCTGCGTCTGGACAGATACTGCAACACAGGAGACATCACTGCGGCTGAGCTGTGACGTAACAGGGTACGGTCTCCTCTGGAACGGTGAAGCAGACATCGTAGGAGTCGCTGCAGGTTTCACTCAACCTGGGGCACGACATGCTGGTGCCCTCGAGTGAGGCGTCGACAAAACTCGGCAACTGGGCAGGACTTCTGGCAAGCGACTCAGGAGGACACTTCTTGACTGGTACTGTCGCTGGGCTGTCACTGCCGGCGAGCATGGAGCGAGTTGTGGCAGAGACGACTGGGCAAAACATCTGGGAGTCGTAACATCATACACCAGACTGCAGTGAGAGAGCTAGCAGTCAGAGTGACATCTTCTTTGCGCAGGCTGCTCACTGAAGCTTGTGACACGAGGCTGACACAGTGCCTGCCGACAGGGCTGACTGCGGCTTGATGAGTATCATTCTCTCGGCAGTTGGAGTTATAGCAGAGGTTAGTCTAAGTGTCCCCAGACTTGTTTCTCTACATATAACTGCACTCTGACGGTCTGGAGGTGAAGTGAACAAATTTTGATGGGAATCGTAGCAGGTACGATTCTGCAGAACATCACGAGCGACGAGCATAAGAACTTTCTGTACAAATGGGGCTCATACGCTCAGAGCTGACTGATAACTGTCAAACTTACTGGTCACAAGGGTGACGGTTAACACAGTGGTGCTACTCAGGTCTGGCTCAGACCTCACTGGACACACGGAAACTTTACACCCGCCGTACATGCGGTACAACATGGCTTAAACTAGTAAATGATGCTTTTCTGTGCATAAAACTGACTCTAAGACATACTAAAATGTGAGAACACTGACTGTGAGGAATTAATTAACACATGACATATATCTTCTCTCAATCTTTTTGACAATACTGAAATAATTACTAGAAACACTCGATATGACATCATGTGATGTCAGGCGTGATGTCGCGAGGTGACGTCAGCAGCACTGTGACGTCAGCAGACATCTCGAGGTGACGTCAGGCAGACACCGTGACGTCATGAAGTCGGGCAGCATCGTCGGTGACGTCAATGTGATGCGGGCAGCAGACCACAGCATGTGGCCTGGGACATCTGGTAACTCACGTGGCTGGTAGATCCACATGACATCGCCCACACCCACGTGGCGTCGTGATCCACGTGGCGTCGTGATCTACGTGGCATGGTGACCCACGTAGCTTCGAGTGGCCTCGGGCACTCGGATACACAGCTCTGGCAATGAATTCACACGGAAAACAGCAGAAAACACAGCAGAGGGGGTGAGTAGCGGTGAGTGGTGTATGGTAGGCTGGTGAGGTGTGAGAGTACAGCAGGGCGAGGCAAGGAGCGGCCTCTTCCTCCTCCCACAAACACGTGGAGAACTCACACTGGACGCAGAAATCGCCACAAAACTCACCTCTGGCTTGCTGAAACAGCTTTGCTGAGCTGAACAACAACAGCAACATACAAGTGACGCTGAACACGTGACTTGAGAAACAGCGTGGGACGCTGTAGCATGGGGTCACTTACAATTCTCGGAGAATTTCGGCAAATTTCGGCTGGATCCTGCTTGTACCTGTGTCTGGATGCTCAAACGTGCAGACATGACATCAGGATAACTCGTTGAGAGACGGATGCTTGTTGTGTAGGGGGATGAAGTGAACAACTTCATTCATTCCTTCCTTCCTTTCTCTGGGTAAACACACTGCTGCAACCACCGCTGCTACCAATGTTTAATGGGTTTGTTTGGTAGGTGCTGCAAGCGGGTGGTTAATGATAAGTCGTCTTCGGAGGCTTCTTAGTTTATTGAAAGGTCGTGGTGGGTACACAGGCTTGTGTGTTTGTGCCCATGGCCCGGGCAGGGCCATCCCACGAGAGAGAGCTGGGAGTACTTGTGTCTTCCTGCTAGGCCGCTGTGAGAGTGAGAGCGTGGCAAGGCCAGGCAGGCTGAAGGGGCCACCGAGAGGCCTGGCTACAGAGGGCAACACTTGAGTGGCGCGAAATATGAACTAAGCTGGCAGACAGCATGGGCTGTCTGTGCAGACAGTACAGGCTGTCTACATATTTTATACTTGGAATGCTACGTCATTTTGTTTTTATTGTCAACTTCTTATGATTTTTTTAACCCTCTTGAGGGTTCAAGCCCCCAATCTAAAACCTTTTTGTTATTTTTCTTTTTAAAGTGGTAGAGAATGTTTTTCTGAATTTAATAAAACAAAAATTTGAAATTTGATGGAAGATTGACAAAATTATGCTATTGTGAATTTTATACTTTGTCAGCAGTATTTACGGATTGGCAACTTTGCCCACTTTGAATCCTATTCTAAGCCAATTACATTGTTCCAGTAGATCAAATTCTTAGATATTTCACTAATATCTCTCATTTTGTTGACTGAGCACAAGAGGCTGCCCAGTCAACTATTTCAGCTACCCAATAAAGTGATCAGAAATTGGTAATTTGGCCAATTTCACAGAAATTTCAAAATACACCTACCATCCGACTTACGACCAAGCTTGGTTCCGACCAACCGGTCGTAAGTCAAAATGGACGTAAGTCGAACCTTTGAAAATTGCCGAGATACTGGGTAGGGCATAATGTCAAACCTTTGCTATATAAACTACCTACATAGTACTGTAATGTAATGTACAATCATTATTTCATTCTTTTTACCATAATTTACTTCTATTGTTATATTTTAATTATTTATGTACTGTAAATAATGTATACATGGT